GTTATGCATATCATTCTCGTGGGATAGTTGGGAATTCCCAGAGGTGTTCTATCCGCTCGTTATGTTTCTTGATTTGTTTCTGTAAAGTTAGAATTAAATTTTGCAAATTAAAATTACCTGATGTATCTGAACCTCCTGTTCCGGAACTATTTTGCACAGATTCGTTATAATCAATTCCGGTACTAATAGTTGTAGTACCAATATACCGATGTACATTCTCAATTTTTCTTTGTTTGTTGCTTAACTATCATTATCATGGCTATTCTTCAATTTTTATTTTGCATGGTAAAGTCATCTCAAACTTGGTTGTCCTCAACTGTGTTGATTGGCAAATTTCGTCCATGACGAAGGTTTAAACTGAAACCAAGCTAATATTAACAAAAATTGTTAGTATCTTTGGATGAATAGCAAATTTGCTTGAGTTCCCAGAAACGGAACCAAACTGTTTAACCCAAAAAATAATTTTTAAGGTCAAAGTAATAAACTTTATATGACGGGCCACAAGCAACTGATTCGATCCGAAAGATATAAATTTTCGTTAACACAACGTGATAGAGAAGTGAAAAATAAATTCAATGACATATAATATAATAAAAATAAAGCAAAGAAATAATTCTTATTGAATGATCTTTGATAGGATGATGAGCCGAACAGAGCTCGAAGGTCCGAACTATAGCTAACTTGGGAGCAAGATGCTATGAATTACAATCTATAGAACTGTAGAGAAGAAAATTAGATGACCACAATGGTGATAAAATGTGTCTATTTATAGGGCTAAATCTAAGTAACCATTCTCCTTGAATTATGGGTCCATTATGAGCATTTACTCAATCCATCTGTTACTTTTGGAGGACTTGTAACAGGTGTATAAATGCTGGAATTCCGTAACTGATGAGTTAATTTCGTAACTGATGAGTTAATTTCGTAACTGATGAGTTAATGACTTAATTCCATAATTGATGAGTCAATCCCGTGCCTGTTGAGTCAATCTCGTGCATGTTGAGTCAATCTTGTAATTGATTGCCTTGTTCTGACCGTTACAACCATTTATTGCATTTATTGTACGTTACAAAATTGATTTGTAACTGATGGCATAATGATGGTAAATCTCATGTAATCTGGGATTAATTAATTCTTTCCTCATTTGTAATTATGAGTTATTCTCCCGTAACTAATCTAGAGTTATTCTATGATGGTCAGTTCCGAGACTAACAGGAACGGTATGAGTATGCTCGGTCCCGAAGGTATTTCACATGTCACATTTACATGTCATTCTTCACTTTTCTTATAACTTTGCTGACATATGTCGCCATTTAATAGACTCACGTGGCGATCTATTTTTCCCTAATATAGAAACCTGTCCCAACTTCTTCCACGCATTTCTTGACCCCCTATTTCCATAACCAGACATAACTATTAGGCCCTTGACAATACCAAGTCAAACTTTTCTTTCTAATTAGGATAGCTTTTTTGAAGCATGAAATTATCATAAAGCTACTCAGCTTGAAGTCCTCAAATATCCTTAAAACTTAAAAGTGTCACATAAACCAGGCAACACATACATAGTCTAAAAGCATAGTGGTAATGAATACCCACCTCAGTTCCTTTAAAGATTCATATTTGAAGTGTACTACGTATTTAATAAAGTGAATCACCTTTGCACTTGTAGGAATAAATACATACAAGAAACTTTTAATGGTTAAGTATTATGTATTCTCACTTTTTCCAAGTTTAAATTGTTTGGTTGGTGTAAAGAGTAGGCGTGAAAAAGTATTTTCATGCACTCACGTCAATGGTCACTCCAAGGGCTTCCGAAAAACATCAGCACTTCCACAAGCAGAAGGCATTGACCTATTTCCTTGCTGCATATATAGAACAGCCTTAAGGGCTCATAACAAGTGAAATTAACCAACTCCCAAGTAAGTTGTTAGTCCAACCTTAGCAAATTTAGCACCACAAGCTGCAGCAAGGATAGCTGCTCCTGTTGAGATATTCACCGTGTTGGCGCCGTCTTCCAACTATGTCCACCGCATCATTTAATCCTTCAACTTTTCTACAACATTTGATGTTCATCGATCTTGCCAGTCCTACAACCTACATTTGTGCAAATTTGCGCATCCAAAAGTTGAAAAGAAAATACTCATTCAAAGGGGGGAATAGAATAACGTTGAAATGACTTACTTTCGCCTTTGGCTCTTAAGAGAACAAGGATTGCGCTAATAAGAGCTTTACTGCAGCGGAGAAGGAGGAGGGAGAGGCAAATCAGTAGCTAGAGAATTCAATTTCCTCCTTGCTGAACTCTGAAAGAGAGGCCCATTAAACAGATACTTTTGAGTTTCGAAATGGGAAATTTGGCACGTACAGTGAGTGAATGTGAAGGGGGAGAGTCCAAACACCGCCATTGCAACCACATTGTTTGTTTGGAAAGGTTGAAATGAGAGTCAGTTTACTAGGTGCCGACAGTGGTCTAAGCCATAAATGCAGTTGGAGAAAAATACTACTAATTCAATTCACTACCAACTACCAAAAACGTAAAACTATTTACTGCTGCTAATGGTTGCTCAAAGGTTTAAAGTTAAATTAAGGATGCACTACTTGTCCTCATAAATAAGTTTCCATCTTCAACTTTTACGGTAACACCCTATACTTGTTCAGACTGATTTTTTTTTAACGCCCTTTTAAGCCCTCTCCCAAGAATTATATAGTGTGTTGCAAACACTCACCCTCAGATGATGCCACGTAATTAAATGAAGTATTAAACGATTATTAGTCTGTTAATTTAATTAATTAACTTAATCATGTTTTACCTAATACACAATTAAATATTTACCAAAACCATTTTCCCTTTTCCATTTTCCCTTTTCCTTTCATTTCATTTCACCCCTCCGTAAAAAATTCATTCTACATCTGTCTTGATGCATTGAAGAAGGCCTTCAAGGCTGGGTGTAGGCCTTGCATTGGTTTGGATGGCTGCTTCTTAAAGTGTTTGTAAGGGACAGTTGCTTGTTGTTGTGTGTAAGGATAGAAACAACCAGATGCTGCCACTAGCTTGGGCAGTGGTAGAAGTTGAGAACAAGTTTACTTTGACTTGGTTTATGAGATTGTTGAGGGATGACTTTGAACTTAGAGATGGGACAAATTTCACATTTATAGCAGACATGCAGAAGGTTAGTATTATGTATTATTTATCTTCTTTACAGTTCTATCTTTGTGTATATTATACTTCTATTTTTTCATAAATCTTACTGATATTTACTTAATGTGTAGGGACTGACTCAAGCAATGGATGTTGTGCTGCCAAACTGTGAACATACACACATCCTAGCTAATTGGTCCAAGAATTGAAGAGGCATTGAAAGAAGAAATTATTTCTGGAGATGTGCCAGAAGTACTTATTAGGCAGAGTTGAAAAAGAATCTTGATTTCATGAAAAGATTAGGTGGTAAAATAATTATTGATGACTTGTTGCGGTATAACAAAGAAAGGTAGTCTAAGATATACTTCCAGTTCTTTACCAATTATGACAGTGTGAATAACAATATGGCAGAAAGTTTCAACTCATGAATATTAGAGCCAAGACACAAGACAATTATAACAATGCTTGATGAAATAAGAGTAAAAATGATGAACAGAATTTGGCAATTGAGGGAATTTGCCAATAGCTGGATCTGTAATATCTCACCCATGGCATTGAAGGTTTTACAAGAAAACGCTGCCAAGTAAATGAAGTGTAACACTATATGGAATGGAGACACATTATATGAAGTGAAGGAAACTGAGTATCTGAAACACTTGGTTTCTTTATAAACCATGACATGCAGCTGCAGAGCTTGGATGCTAAAAGGCATACCATGTGCTCATGCTATGGCTGCCCTTCATTTTAAAAAGTTGGGGCCATTAACTATGTTTCTCACTGGTATACCAAAGAGACTTACATGAAAATCTACGGTCATTTCATTCAGTCTGCTTTTGATATGTCAATGTGGCCAGACTCCAAAATATGTATATTATGCCACAAGTCAGAAAGATGCTAGAGAGACCCAGGAAAGCAAGAAGAAAGGAGCAAACTAAAAATAAAACAGGTAAACTGCCTAGGAAAGGACTGGAGATGACATGTAGAACATATAATGAAATGGAACATAACAAGAGGCAGTGACATAAGACCAAGAGTTCAACTTCTAATGCAGCATCAAGTGCAGCACCAAGTGTCAGTTCTGTACCAAGTGCAGCACCAAGCAGTTCTATACCAAGTGCAGCACCAAAAACTAGAAGAGGAAGGGGTAGACCAAAAGGTTCCACCAATGTGGCAAGACCCTACAAAAGACCCAAAATGGTTGGAATGGGGGTGCTGCAAACAGAAAGTGGCTTCACAATCCATAATATAAGTCTTACCATGTTTTATAGAACAGCTAAGCTAAGTGGTACAATGTGTTAACACTAACCAGTTTTTGTCTTTCTTTAACAGCCTGGAATGCCTTCTAGTAGGCCCAGAAATGTTATATCTTCAGCAGAGATCACTGGAGAGATATTGGGCACACACCATCAACTGGAGTGAAGTGGAAAGGGAAAGCAGCTATGACACAAAGACAACTACAGCAAATGAGAGGAAAGAAGATCATCCAGACAAGATCCAAGGCTGCACAGTTGAGTCAAGGAAGCTCCACAACACATACCTGGATACTTTAGAAATATCATGTGTATTTGGCAAATTGGTCTGAAACTTTTATATTGTATAGTTATGTAGCTTAGACTATATTTAGGTACTCTTTTTGTGTTAGCAGTTGTGACTGCAATTATGTTATTGCACATATTTTGGACAATTGTGACTGCTATGGTTTGGAAACAATACTACTGTTATTATGGTTACTAATGAATGAGCAGGAATGACTGCAATTTTGGGACAGATTTGTGTTTACTATGTTCCGTCAATGTACAATTCTAGTCTGCTTGTTGCATGCAATTCTACTAATTCAAAATGCATAAACATAAAAAATTTAGAATCAAACAAGCACCAACTTCATTCCACAAAACAAAAATTGTTTATATAAGGTATTCACCAATATTCAATACAACTAATGCTATACTAACCATGTTCAACAATTACACCAAATGTATAAAACAAAGAGCCTATGGCAACTTTATTTCATCATCCTTCAAATACAACACTTGAAACCTAGTACTAATGTCGATAATAACACAACATAAAATGATAAACCAAAAAACATTCTCCCTTTTCCTTGATCGAGCAGCTTTGCTCATCCATTTCTTCTCCCTTTCTTTCATCTTCTAAACTTCATTTTCTAAGCAATCTAGTTGAATGCATATCTTATCAATCTCATGTCATCCTTCTTTGTTGCCGTCGGATTGTCAAGTTTTCCAAAATCTTCAACTTGGCTCTCAAGTATCCCGATCTCTTCCTTCAATTTAGGAATAACAAGCTTTGATCTAGGGTCAATTTCACCATCCCTCCAACGCCAAAAATCACATGCTCGAGCACCCTTATCATAAATAGCCATAAAAATTATATTTCAGTATTCAGTTGTTCAATTATTAACTTAATTAATCTTAATCAATTCAAATTACCTCATAGTATGGACAAGCCCAATACCTTCTACCAGGATTTCTAAGGGTCCAAAAGATTAACGGTGGCAGCAAATATCCATGATTACATCGCACTTCTTCAGTAGATGCATGATCGTCCTCTTTCATATAAATCCTAGTCAACTTTTTGGAAGGCATTTGGAAGTCGTCCCTGTAGGTTTCAAACAAAAGAAAAACA